TCTTTTTACTTTAATATCGTTCTCCTTCATCTGAGCGTTTTCCAGAATCATTCGCCGAGACGTGTTTGAGAGGGGTTCTCGAAGTCCAAACTCCACAGCATCACGTGAAATCGCCTTCATTGATGAACTTCTGGACGTGAATACCATGCGACTTCCCACTGAACCGAGCAACCGTTTCAACGAAAAGAGTGAGTTCCGCGATATCTCCTCATTTTCCCATACATCGTCTACGATGAAGAGTGCCTTCTCATTGCCGAACTATCCCTCAGCCTTGCGAATAACCTCGTTCATGTTTCTTTCAGACATTGTCTGCTTTGCGAGTATTACTCCTCCTGACATCTCGATACAGTTACACAATTCCTTCTTCAACGTGAGTTCCCCAGCATCCAAGCCCAGCGATATCTCATAGATCCCTCCAGGGAACATATCCCGCACTTCCTGCAAGGCGGTAAGTCCGCGAACTGCGCAGCTCTTGCCCATTCCACCACCACCTATGGCACCGGTTACAATTCCATCGATCACACTAACGAAGGAGCTGCCTGGTTGCATTATAGCTTGTTTCAACTTACCTTCACACGTGACAGCTGCGCCGTTTTCGTCCATGGACTCAAAGTCAAGGACAAGGTTTTCTGGGTTTGGCTGAACTACAACTCTGCCCTTGAACTCCTCACGTTCACCCAGAGTGATTGCCTTGATTCCTTCTTCGATGCGAACCAATCTTATTTCGTTCAGCACACGCCATGCATTATTCAAATGGTTCTGCACTGAAGACAGAGTCTCTTCGTTACGCGTTGTTCTCTGGATTGCTCTCGTTTTTGCGCTAGCCTTCGAAAACGCGTTAGCAATCCGTTTTAGTCTTCGTGATCCGCCAGAGCTCTGAGAATCAAGTCCATTCGAGGGTATGCTAAGGTATTCGCTCAGAGAACTGAGATCAGAGTCTGCAGAATTAATGTGCGCTTGAAACAGCCGCATGTCGCGTTTTGTCTCCTCGTTCGATGTTTCTGATAATGAGGCATGCAGATACCTGAGCTTTTCGCATATTCGATCATGAGCAGCAACAAGCATAGCGTACTGTTGAGGGTGCTGCCGAAACCTGTCAAGACGTATGCGAAAGTCTGCTAGACGACTCTCAACCACGTCAACCAACCCAATAACATCAAGCACCATTGCGTTCACACCGAAAAGGTACCTTGGGTATCGCGACGAGCAACCTCTTGGAGTTTGTTGCAGCCTCGTGGGAATTTGATCCTCGATTGTTCAATGTCAGGCTACGAGAGCAAGAAGGCAGCCGTGCAGCGAAGCAGAAGACAACGAACTGCGCAGTTGTCGGGCGAGCTTCGAATACGAGCGCGAAATCCATCGTATTGCAGTGTGGGGGGGCATCGTGTCCTGTGTCAAGCAAATAATCGGCACTAAGAAGCTGCCGGGAGCTCCTTCTTGCTCTGCGTGTATCCATGGCTCTTCATATAGGGTTGAGGTTACTAGGCGACTGTTCGGTAACTGAGGGTGACGTTCGCGTTCCTACTTGTACGTGGTACACTATGTAAATTCAATTTACCACGTATTGACTAAATTGTACACCATTAGGAAGTTGTACGCGTTCTAACAACAGTTCAGCACAATCCTCTTAACCCATGGTACCAATCGTTCGTTCGTCTCTTACCCTTGCAACTAGAGGGCTAGCGATCTAGCTCACTCTAATGTTGCGGCAGGACCTATTCCGCCTACGGAGAACTCTGTCCTTAAGTAACAGTTCTTCCGTGATTGAGAACTTCCGAACAAACGTCAGCGACTCTGCCGTGGACGCATGTCGTATTCCGCTGGTCGTAGTCAACTTAACTCCCTAAGCAAGGAGAGAACGTCGGAGATCTATAAAAGCACGCTGCTTCCCATCTCACAAAACCAGACGTAGAGGGTTCCTCCCGGCGCTAGTACACCATTTAGGGATGGGGGACGTCTCTGCACAAAACGTTGAGAAACAGGAACATCTTTTCTCTTTCTCACTAATACAATGTCAGTATCGCTTTGTGTGTTGTTTGTGGGCGCACACTACCAATTCCGAAATTGCTTTGAATCTTGCTCCAACATTGGTGCCTTCTGTTTGAAATTGAACATGTCTCACGAATCCTGAGCATAAGGCATGCTGAATTCGAAGCATTCGGAAGGGGATCGTTCTTTTCCTGTTGGTAAGAAGGAATAAGGCAGTACGCTCTCAGCAGCAACGCAGACATGTTGGACTCGAAAAGCTCATCACGATCTGACCACAAACCTGTAGATAACCAACGAAATTCGCGAAGGGGAAGCAAATCCAGTGAGATGGGCGAATGCCATGCCCTTGATGAAGCGGAGTGCAGCATGAGCCCCCTGTGCCACGTCACGCATCAATCCTCGCCCAGGTATTCCAGGCAGCTCCTTGTTTCTGCATTGCTATTTCGACCCCGTGAAGTGAACCAACGCTGTGACATCTTGCGTGAGGAGGAACGTATTTTCGTGGCGCATTCCTTCTGGTGAGCAGGTTTGTGACTTTGTTGTATTGCTACATCAGCGCATTGCGATCTCACACTGAGTTTGCATATTAAAGGCTTTATACATAACAATAATATTATACAAAAAGCTATCTTTACCACGGAGCGCTGGCAACACGTCGCATTCCGCAATGACTCTTTTCTCCGAACAACAATGCATTAACCAAATGCTAACACGGCCAATGAAACCTTCCCCGACAATCGAGTTCTGTCAATCATCTCACGCAGCTCATAGAAAGTAACCCTTCAGCTTCTATCTCTGACGGTAGGCCAAACTCGAGCGCTACAGCCAGAAACGTCAAGATCGGGTACCTCAAAAAGCACAACAAGATGGTAAAGGTCACGAGCCAGTTTTCACGCCAGTATATATGTAAATAATTAGCTACATGGATTTACTAATGAAATAAACGCCTGGTCAACCCCTTTCAGGTCGTCTTCCAATGATACGAAGCACCACCATATACAAAGCCATGCTTTGCACATAATTCATCCCATTCCTTAGGTCCCCTACTAAACGCCTTATACTTGATAGGTTCAATTTCACCCCGCCCAATGGAATGCAACAACGGAGTGAAGATTCTCCAAGCCTCTCTCAACTCATCATGTCTGACAAAGGTAGCTGCATCACCGCGCAAAACCTGCAAGATCAATCTAGTGTACGCATCGGGCAACTTTGAGAATTGATCCGGGAAGCGAGATTTGTAGGTGAGGTCAAGTTCAGAGACAACCGGATCACCGCTAAGTCCCGGTGCCTTGATATTCATCTTAAGATAGATAGCTTCATCCGGTTTAAGACGAATGACGAGTTCATTCCTCTCAACTGCTTCCTGTCCAGTACCATACCCATCTTCACTGTCGACAGCGCCGAACATCAAGCTGCTACCTGGACTCTTCTTGAACTGCACACGAATCTCACTCTTGGACTCATTAAGAGCTTTTCCAGCACGAAGAATGAACGGAACACCCTCCCAGCGAGAGTTATTGATGTACATAACCATAGCAGCTCCAGTCTCCGTTTTAGAGTCATCCGGAACGCCTTCATCTTCAGTATAGCCCGGTTCACGACGTTCATCATCAGAGATATACTGTCCAGTAATACAGTCGTCCTTTCTAATGGCCGGGATAGCCTGCAGCACCTTCACCTTTTCATCGCGGATATAGTCTCCAGTAGGTCGTGCGGGCGGTTCCATAGCGAACATGGTAACGATTTGCATGATATGATTCTGGACAACATCTCGAATCATTCCATTCTTATCGAAATATCCACCACGACCTTTTGTTCCGAAGTCCTCCTTGAAGGAGATGATGACGGAATCAATATACTTGTTGTTCCACAAGGGCTCAAAGGTGGTGTTTGCAAAGCGCATAACGAGCAGATTCTGCACGGCTTCCTTCCCGATGTAGTGATCAATACGGAACATTTCCTGCTCTTCCAGCACGGCGGACATGTCGTTGTTGAGTTTTTCAAACGACTTGATGTCTGAGCCGAACGGTTTCTCCACGATGAAGCGGGACCATCCGGTGTGGCCGACGGCCTTCTTCTTAAGAGTGGCGGCAGCCGGGACGAATGCGACGGGCGGGATAGCAAAGTAGAAGAGACGATTGACTGTTTTCTGGGTGCTTTTCTCCATGATTGCGATTTGTTTAGACATGGTTTCAATAGCTTGTTCATCGCTATACGAGCTGCCATGGCGGTAGTAACAGTGGCTCAGAAACTGGTCAACAAGCTCGGAGTGCGGGTGTTTGAGGTAGGGGCGAATTGCGTCTCGGAAGTGGTCGTCAGATTTGGCAGAGCGAGCGTAGCCGACAATGAGAAAGTCCTCAGGGAGGTAATGAAAGGCGAAAAGAGCGAACAGGGAGGGGTAGGTCTTCTTTTTCGCGAGGTCCCCAGAAGCGCCAATAACGAAGACGCTAAGAGTATCAGCGCGATAGTCGCATTTGTAATAATCGCCCTTCGCGTTATGGTTTTCCTGCGTTCTGGCGACGCCGTTGGCGGTGGTGGGGGGGGTCATGTCTGACTGTTGGGTGGTGGGCGGGTGAACGGGCTTCGGGTCGGACTTGACAAGGACGACGTCTCTGAGCATGGCGAAGTGGTGGGAGAAAGCGGCAAGAGTTAGAGGGGCGGGTGTTAGAGGGGTGAGGGGGGGGAGAAGGTGGGCGGAAAGGAGGCGCTCCAAGGTAGCGCGCGGATTTTATATAGAGCGATGGGTGAGATCAGACGAGGCGGCAGTGCGGCACGTGCCGCCATTGTTGCAGTCGCGCTTGTCGAATCCTCAACAAGTCGAGCGACGCCTTTTTCTCTGCTGCGCACGGCGCGACCAATCATGACGTGGCGCGTTGGGCAGAGCGAAAAGCGCCGCCCCCCCGCTGCCGGCTGCAAAACGCGCCAACAGCGTGTCACAGCTGCAACACGTGCGCACGTGTACGCGTGTGCCACGTGTCCACACCGACGAGGAACAAAAGAGAGTCGCGAAGAGTCCCCAGTGGGGCTTGAACCCACGGCCTCGAGATTAACAGTCCCGCGCTCTAACCAGCTGAGCTATGGAGACCTTTCGCTGCGCCCAGAGAGCGGGCGGCCGCGCTTTATTCGACGCGTCAGCTGCCCGCGCTCGCTCCCTGGCGCGCACCGCTTTGAGCTGTGCGTATCTACTATTAGAGCTACGTGTCTCCGCAAGGAGCTCCCCGAGTTGAAGAGGGCTGGCTGGCTGCTCCGCGAGCGCCGTCCCCACGGCGGACGCGCCGCCCCGTTTCAATTAGACTCACCGCCGAATTCGAGCGCCCGTCCAAAGTCCCCAAACCACCATGCCCCCATAAAGATCCATCTCTCACAAACCACCACCCCCCAACCGTTCAGCATTCCGGCGCTCCAAACATGTACAACGTCTGCGCCCGCCCGGCGCGTCTTCGCTCCACCCGTCCGCGAAATTCGCCCTTCCACTCAGTCATCCTGCACCTGCGTCGCTTCAAACGCGTCGTCCGTCCGCTTACGCCCATCGTTCTTCGGTCTTTGATCGTGCTCTTCACCGCCATCCAACTGCAACCAATCAACACACCCACCCACGCCAACTACATCCCCGTTTTATCCCGCGCCTCCGTTCTGGCGGGCGTGCTTTCAGCCCCGCTATCCATCATCTTCTTCGACATTCGAATCTTCAACTTCACTCTAATCGCCGCCATATTTCTCAACTTCGTCATTGATGTTCGCGAACACAATCACCTACCGTTACCAACTCTACTCGCCGCACTAATCTTTCATTCCACCGCCGTCTTGCTGTCAACCCTGGTCGGTCGAAGAAGGTCAATTTCCAAACCATCAGCTCTACGTGCCAACTTGGCCCACAAGCGTCACTACTTTGCAACTCTCCGTACAGTTCGTTACGTGCACATTCTAGAGCTGGCTGTGCGTCTACAGGCGTGTATCCTCACAATAGATCATGCGCTTTCACAAGCAAATGCTTCTTCAGCTGTGTTTCTCGCCCTGCCGTTTGCGTTGTTCTTTCTGCTTGGGTACAATTCGAGGCGAAATGGGGCTGTCGTGTTGCTCATGCTCACCTTCTTCGCGTTCACCACTCAACATTCACAGTTTCTTGCTTTCGATTTACTCAACACGCTTGCCAGTGTTGCGGCGGGCGTACTCGTGCTTTGTGTGGGGCCTGGTTTGCTTACCATAGATGAGTGGTTGGCAACCACACAACAGCTCTACTACTAACTACAACATACGCAACCGACAGGCGCCACAGAAACAGAAAGGCATCAAGTGCAACTGCAAAACGAGCAATATGCTGTTTCTACAACAGTAAAAAAAAGCACGCACACTCGACTGTCACACAGCGCACATCATATAATGTGCTACTAGAACATACACAAAGTGTAATAAACAAATACGGCAAACAAAAAGCTAGTGCGCCATTTACGGTCGTGCACCACCTTGCAAAGCGTCTAAACGAGCCATGAGGTCAGTATCCTGTACCTTTTGACCAGACACAGCGGTAGGTTGTCCAATCGGAGCATTGAATCCACTGAGCCTATCACCAACATCAAGATTGTTTTCATCTGCAATCTGTTGCAAAAGATTGTTCACCTGCGATTGCGGCGTGGAAGAAGAAGTAGACTCTCCAATGGCAGAGTCCATGTACTTGGTTTGCAAATCCAAATCCTCCGACTGCTTGATGAACTGTTCCATAGTGTACCCGATCTGCGTGGCGTCCATAGAGTTCAACGCCTGGTCTAAGTTGGCCGTCACGGCGGTCATGCTTTGCGAAACCAACTGGCGCACTTCCTGGGCCTGTAACTTTGCGGCCACAGCTTCGAGCTGGCTTTGCAGCTTGAGGTAGGACAGATGTTCGTTATGATTTCGAATGGCGTTTTCAGCGTGGATACGCGCGCCTGCGATGTTGTTCTTGGCCATGGCTTCTTTCGCCTTTCGCTTTTCCACGTCGATTTGTTTCTGCGACTTGAGGGCTTGTCGTCCGATGGTCTTGGAGGTGAAGCGCATCTTGAACACGATGTCTTGCAGAGTGGGAGGGGGCGGGGCTTGTTGAACTGGTGCCGGTGGTGGCGGAGCCTTACGACTGAAGAGACCCATGGCGTGTTCGAGGGGGGGTGTTGTGTTGAATAGGGTAGGAGGGAGCGGGGGGGGACGAGTTGGAATTTCAGACTTGGCAGGCGCGGGTGGGGGACGAGATGCGGACGAAAGTGGTTTGGAAGGGGGTGTAGGGGGGAAATGCGTGCTTGAAGGGCCCTCTTTTGAAGAGTCGGGTTTGACCAACAAGGCAGCTGCGGTGGCTGCATTCACAATGCGCGTGGCGCACCTGCTCGCTCCGTATCTACCGTGGTACCGTTTATCAAGAATGCTGCTTGCGTCCACATTGTGCCCTCCACAACTCCGTCCGCACCGTCACTGCTGGACATACTCCACACGTGTATCGCTTGCCCTGCTGGACACTTGCTTACATTCTATTCTTACCACGTGTACTGTCAAAAACCTGTCTTCGCAGAGCAACATTTTGATGGTGTGTTATTGATACTGTATCACATACGGTAAAAGGCTTACCTTCACAACCTTTTCGAACCGGCTACAACATTATTATGTACAAAAAATCATATCCACCACCTACGTTGTGTGTCTGTCAAATACTTAATCTTTATCTAACGTTACACCCTTTTATGCATTCTCCCTATATGATCCTCTAAACTTCTTCCCAACCTCCACCACGCTGTTCTTCGGGTGGTCTACTTCTCTTTCGTCAAGAGGCGCTTCCAGATTCCTCTTCCTGCCTTCTCTAAAAGAGTCCCATATCAATCTAACATTTATTGCGCTGTATACCCAACAACAAAGAGCTCGCAGCTCACACGTAGAAACATATTCCCCCCAAAACCTTACGTATGGTTTCCGTCCCAGCTTTTCTCTCCGATACAGGAACACAATCTCATCTCTAACAAGTACTATATCCTAGTCTGGAATGTCCATTTAGGCGGACCCCCATTCGTATACAACATACGAGCCATCACTACTTGCTTTGATCACATTGCCGTCATGCATGTCACCGTGCACGACACAAAGTGCGCCTCGCCCATTCTCGCAGACGTAGTCCAAAACCTGCACGTCGCTTCCTTACACACTCGTAAATCACCCATTCCATCTTCCTCACCACATTCGAATTCCTCACACTGTCCCCAACACTCTTCGGATTTGCCCGTCGTTTAGAATTTCTGTAATTCGGCCCGCCCATGTTTCACCTCAAGTATACGAAACCCCACCTGCTTTCAGCTGCTCAATGTGTTGTAGCGAATCTATCTGCACTTCTGCAAGTAAAATAGACACCACTTCGCAATCACTGCGCGATAATCGATCAAAAAGCCCCTCTCCGTCGTCGTTCATGAGCATCCATTCCTCCCTCTCATTCACCAGTATTGGTTTGCGAACCACAGGAGATGCAAAATCCGGAATCATTGTCGTAACCCTCCCCTCTTCACGATTGCTGCCCTTCAGGTACACTCGTTCATTCGTTTTGTGTACCCTCAGCACTGCCGGATCGGCAGTTGGAAGAAGCCGTTCGAAATCACTTGTCACAGTGTATCCTTGAGTTGCCAGTGCGTCAATTGATTCTTTCGTGGTGCTTGCGTGCCAGTTTGGCCGTTCATAGGGGCGTAGTCTACCCTCTTTTACCTCTTAATAATCATCCCTCGTTAGCGTCGATAGTGCGCTTTTCTCCCCAGGCGCATTGATCCACACGGAGTCTGATGCGAACATCAGTTTCTGTATGGTGTGTGTGTGTGTTTACGGGCACCTGCCTCTAATTCCGAGGCAGCGGTATTAACTTTCTAGAAGAAGTAGAAGGCTAGTAATCTATTCGACGGCTAAATTCCCCTAATAGACCCCATCGCATTCTGTATGGTGCTAATAGGCATCAACTCATACTGCCTCAATGCGCGGTGTACATGATCCTCTTGGTTTTAGAATCGTTAAAAGATATGCCTTGGAGTATTGCGCAGTACGGCACCGCAACAGCCTCTTCACTCACTTTACTAATAGATGATGAGTAGAGAAACACTAACTCATATTTTGTTTCTTATATCTTAGGAAAAAAACGGGGCGTCAAAGTTGTCGTGGCCCATATGGAAGCCAAATCACTTTGCGCTGGATGACTGCTGTGGTGAGGGATTACTGCAAGATACTGGCGAGTCCCGCTAAGGGCACATGCATTTCCGCCCGTGTCGAGGTGTGCCGACCTTCCGAAAAGGGTACAAAAGACTATGAAGTTACGCCGGATGTGGAAGCCAAATGGATATGCGACTGGGTCTTATTAGGGGAATTTAGCCGTCGAATAGATGATTAGACTTCTTCTTCTAGAAAGTTAATACCGCTGCGCTCGGAATTAGAAGCACGTGCCCGTAAACACACACACACACATCTTAGCAAAACGTTCACCGAAGCACGCGCTCATCCGGCGACCCCAGAATGGCACTTCATGACATTCGATCCTTGGAAAGCTGAGGTTATCTCAATCCCGATGTGCGATGGCCATGTCGTTCAGCTCACCGATCAAAAGGCGTAGATAGATAGGTAATTGGTTTCCGATCCTGGGGGCACGTATGTTTCGAGCTGACAAAACGCGTCATGGAATGAGCAAAAGATACTAAGTTGACGAGTTACAAAAGAACACAGGGCGGAACGAGAATCTGCTATGATGAGTGAAAGAAACAGCGTAGTTTGAACGCCGGACATTGTGCTTTGAAGTGGGATGGAGCCCCCAGGGGTTTCGTTGATCTCTGAAACGCCGGGTTGGAACCAATGTGAGAGGGAGGGGACTGGAGTTCCCACATCAGAGTACAATCGCAATTACAATCCTTCCTGAGAAGCTGCAATCGGATTGCAATCCATTAAAGAATAAGCAATCGCGTTGCCATCACTTTGCCGAAGTCGTACGGCTCTTCACTTTGCCTCTGAACACAATTGATGGAAAACTTCGAACCGAAGCTTGTGCTTGCTTCCGATCCATTTGTTGCAGAACAGTTAGTGTAAACAATTTGTCGTTAAGATCTCTCG